TCATTTCTGAAGAAGGGTCTGGGCCCAAAACGTCAGCCTTCCTGCTCCTCTGATGCTGCTTGGCCCGCTATGTTCGTCCAGCTCTACACCTGGTTATGACTTATTTCATTGTTACATTGTGGTTTGTGGAATCTTGCTGTGTGCAATTTGGCTCCATTTAAGAATGGTATGAGAGTGAAACCAGGAATTTTAGATCAATTAGGAACATAGCTGGAGTAGGCCATTCCTCCTCTTGAGTCTGCTTTACCATTTTAGATCGTCTACTCTGTCTGTTTAGCAGAGAAACAAAACAAATGCTTTTTGCCTGTCTTCGCCAAAGAAATTACTGAAACCGTCCCAGAAATAATGGCAAATCTAATGACCAGTTAATACAAATAAAAAAAAGTACCAGAAAATTTAATGGGACTTTAAGTAGACTTGAACCTGCCATGATGAACATACCAGAGTTTTGAATGAGGTGGCTATGGGGATGATGAATGCTTGGTGGTCATCCTTCAAAATTCTGTAAACTCTGGAATGTTTCCTGTGGGTTTGAAAATGGCAAATGTAACCTCACTATTTAAGAAAAAGAGGAAGGAGAAAATGGAACTCTAGACCTGTTAGCCTGACATCAGTTGTGAAGAAAATCCTAGAATTTATAATAAAGGATGTGATAACAGGATGTTTAGAAAATAATGGAAGGAAGATTGGATAGAGTTAACATGGATTTATGGAAGAGAAATCATGTTTAACAAATCTGTTGGAGGCTTTGAGGGATTGTGCTTGTTATGTCCTCCATCTTGACATACTTAATGGCCGAGCATTAGGTTAGAGAATTGCGAAGTTTCATTCCCCTCTGAGTTCTGAAATTCTTTCTTACCTTAGGCCTAAATGGCTTGCTCCTTATTCTGAGACGCTCCACTAGTTGTAGAACTCCAGACCAGGGGACAAGATCTTTCTGCACCTACCCTTTAATACCCTTTAAGAATTTTGTAAGCCTTTGAGTTGACCTCTCATGCTTCTATACTCTACAGAATACAGGCCTAGGGTCCTCAATCCCCCCTCATAGGAAAGTCTGCCTTCCTAGGGATGAATCTGGTGAATCTCAACTGCATTCCTGCTGGAGAAAGTGTATCCTTTTTGATGTAAGGTGGCTGAAACTGCACAGAATACACCAAGCACTGTCTCGCCAAGGTTCTAAACAGTTGAATCATGTTAGGCTAATAGCACAGAAATAAAGATTACATCTGTCAAATAGAAATTTCTAGAGTCTGTTATTAAGGAGAGGAGGACTGATCAGCTTAAATTTTCAGCTGATCAGAGGGATTCAACGTGGATTTGTAAAATATAGTTCATGCCTGACAAACTTGTTTGAATTTCTTTTGAAGCTGTGATAGAGTTAGCGGACAGGGGAAGAAATGTCTACGGATGTTACATTTGGACTCTAGGAATCATGTGAAAAAGTCCTTCATGGCAGGTTGCTAGTGTATGTTGAAGTTCATAGAATTGAAGATAAGCCAATGACTTGATTGGGGGATTGACTGAGCAACAGGAGACAAGATAGGGATAGTGAGTAGGTATTCTAATTGGCACGTCGCTAGTGGTACCTAGTATGTCTCTACATTGGTGGCCTGAATTACTCACCACATTTATCAATGATTTAGATCATCTGATAGAAAGTCACGCACCCAATTTTGTTGATGGTTCAGAAGTAGGTGATGTTATGACAGTGCGGAAGTGTAACATCACAAAAATAAAGTGATTTGAAATAAATGGGCACCACAATGAAGGTGGTGAATGGCTTCAGCACAAGTAAATGTGATAGCAACTACTCTGGACCTGAAAGAATAGAAAAGAGTTCTTTTGACAAAGATAGAAGCAGTGGAGGCCCAAGGGACTTGGGAGTCCGGTTACATTAAAATGTGAACAGCTACAGAAAGTAATCAGAAAAGCAAATGGATTACTGGCTTTTGGATGAATAGAATTTGGACGGGTAGAAATCATAGTTCAGCTACACAAAGACACACACAACATCTGAGATGTTATTAGCAGCTTTGGACTCCATACGTTAAAGATGTGTTGGCCTTTTGAGAGGGTGCAACGTAACTTTTTAAAGGAGTTAGATATAATTCTTAGCGCTCAAGGGATAAAATCATATGGGGAGAAAAGGGGAAGGGGGTACTGAATTGAATGATTATTCATGATCATATTGAATGACAGAGTTGGCTCGAAAGTTTGAGTGATCTATTCCTGCTCCTATTTTCTCTTTCTATGACTAAAGATTAAATTATGAGAAACTAAGGTCATACTTTGTGCAATTTAGGAGGTCTATTAGGTATACTTGATCTAGGTTTTCAAGATATTCAGGGGAACAGTTGGGATAGATGGAAACTACTTCCATTGTTTGAAGTGTTTAGAATTGAGGGCTGAGTCTAACAGTCATTATCAGGCCTTTCAGGAGTGAAATTAGGAAATACTTCCACAGGCAATGTTTGATACAAGTTTGGAGCTCTCTTCTGTAAATGACATTGATGCTACATCTATTGTTAAATTAAAAATTGAAGTTGATAGTTTTTCTTGTTCTTTTGTGTTGTGGGATATGGAGCAAAGGAGAATATTTGGATATTATGGAGTTAGGTCGTAGATTATAGATCATAGTTTGAGCGGAGACTGGCTTCTGTGTAAGGACAGATTTTAACATTTGAAAGCACACTACTGTTACTTTTGAGTAATGGACTTTGAGGGCTAACCTCACCTCGACCAACTTGTTACCTTGGACGTTAATGTAAACTGTGGGGGACATTTAAACCTGTCAACTTCTGTAGTTTTCCGATCCCTAAAATTGTTTTTTGTTTATTCCTTTGGTAAT